TTTCCTCACAAGTTGTAACATTACTTCCACTTCCTCTACCACGATAATGACTAAGCTGTAATTTCTAGTACAGTCAATAATAAAATTCTTTTTTATAAAGAAGCTTCGCAAGCAAAGGAAGTCTAGAAGTAATTGATGCACATATACAGACAATTTCGACTGTGTTCAAATACGCGAGAACAGTCAAATTATTTCTTATGTAGCTAAAAATCCTCAAAATATCATGTAAGAGGGCGTACATTCTGAACGTAAGATCAATGTGCGCAGCATGAGAATCTCAGTGCCTGTGAAGAAGGATGAAGCGGGGAAGAGTGAAAGAACAACGATTCACACCAGAAGTAGTGAAGTGGAAATCGTAAAATGAGTTCAGGCTGTTAAAGTCAAATCTTCAGCTGACTAGGGAATATGGTGAAAAACCGGGAAACGGTGAGGAACCATGAAGTGATACTGCATGGTTTTAGCCGGGTGTACTTTCCCGTTCTTTCACTTCAAATATAGCCCTAGATTTTGTAATGAGTAGTTTGAAGATATAAATTACAATAACTCGATTAGAATCTTTCTGTGGCAGCACTATTTCATTTTTCAGCAAAAAATTGAGTTAAAAATAGATAAAATGTTAAAACATTTTTTAGAAACAACAATGTTTGAGGTACTGCTTAAAAACAACGAGCACTTGTCCCTCTTTTTTCCTCCCTCCAGCCCTGCCATCCGCATGCTGGTGGAGGAGCTTATGCTGTACATCTTCGAAACAGACATTTGAAGTTACAGCAGTAGAAAAGCATGCTACTAAGGCGATTGCCAAATCAACCAGTTTTATTTGCCTGTTTGCTGCATGCAAGAGATAAACAATTAGCTATTAGAAAATGCCTTCCTTAGAAGATCCCGCCGATGGAGGGAGTACTCATAATGAGATAATTACGCCACTGATTGTGCGAAAACGTATCAATAGAAGAAGAACGGGGAGTGCATTTATTCTATTCCATTTACTGGTGCAGAGCAGAAAACATTGACCGTTACTGACGCTTGCTCATACTGAGATAAAAGAAATGCGGAAAAAAACGAATATAACAAGAGGCGCAAGATGGGGCAAAAAGTGCGTGATAACCTCCACGCCAACAGATTATGCTTTTTCCTCTAGCATCAGTCAAGAGTATGCAACGAAAGAAGAAAGTTATATAAGTGTCACTAAAGCAAATTTTAAGCGGTGTTGGCTGCTGCTGCTGCCGCTCAAGGAATGGCCGAAGAGACGAACAAAACTACACTGCTGCTCGATCGATGACCATCGAAAGGGCACTCTGTAAATAAATAATTCCGCGCACTAGATAACCGGTGTTAGCATGCAGTTATGCACACTTTCAGCAGATGCTTACTGTTAAAAGTGTTCACTACTTCACAGTTTGAGATGTGCACTCATCTTGAAAATGTTCTGATCGGTCTTTATTGTCCGTGTCCGAAACGGAACCTCCTCAACTTTCATTATCGTGATTGTGTGAAAATTGGATTTCAAATTCGGTAGTTATTCGACGTGATGTTGTCCAGCATAACAAACAGGCTTTATGCAATAATTCATGTGCAGCACTGTAGCAGACTCTGATTACACACTTTCCAGTTAATGAAATTATGTTACTTTATGTGGTCGCACCTTTACAACATTTATAATTCTAAATATTGGCGCATGCTCGAAAAAAAACCTACTTTACTGTCTCGTTGTAAAGTTGGGGCAGTGCCAATAATTTGCAGATCCCAATTTGACGTGATTGTTTTTGAGGCATAAGCATATGTGGAAGGTAATTCGCGCTTATATGCGCATGTGGTCAAGAACTTTGTAAAATTTGAGTTTTTATGCGTTTTTAGAGATTATACAAGTGCAAAAAGCGCATATTTCAAGAGGTCTATGTGTGTGCGTGTATGTGTGGGCGACTGAACTTTGTTATCCACTTTTAACTCCAGAACCGGAGAAGCCAGAAAGCTGGAACTTTGCAAGCATGCTTCCGAACACATGTCATCCTTACAACTCGAAACCGATGCTCACGCACGGCTGGATCTCACGTGTAGACGCTGAAAAAACCTGCAAATTTTTCGGCGGAAGAACGATTTCGAGAACCAGACAAGCTAGAAAACTGAAATTTCACAACAATGCCCCTTATTCATGTGTGAGTCAAAGATTTCAAATTCAACTATCTTGCACACTTACGTCACGCGTATAGTCGCTTCAAAGGTTACAGTTGGCATCACGCCAACTCAAAAGCTAGCTGGAAAAATAAAGCTGTAATTTTGCCAGAATATCCATCGTTCATCTGAAACATAAATCGAGCGACTTGCACTTACACCATCCCTTAGGGTACTTCAAAGGCATTTGTAGCAAAGTGGCGATTTTACGTACCAGACAAGTTGTGGAGCTGAAACTTTGCAGGGATATTTTATATTCAGTTGTGGTCTAAACTCAGCTTGGAAGCTAAACTTCGTGCAAGCGGACATGATAAAAACTCAGTTTTATCGCAGTCTCAAAAGCGAGTACATTTTGCGAATTTTATGGTCCCCTTTATTGTCAAATTAGCATTTATCGGTGAAAGATCGGTCGCTGGTAACCATTCAACTTTTCTTTGTGCAAAACTGATAATCATGCACGGCAGAAATTCGCGCGGCTTCACGGTGCAACACTACCAATCCAGCCGACGCCCTTTTCCCCTTGCATGCAAGAAAAGGCCAAAACACAGCTACATGACTCCACGTGTTAAACTGCAATGCAAATACTAGTTAATAATCTAACTGCTGCAATTTATCGCACCGAGAAGCCCTTGTATGTCACAACCTGGATGGTACCTTGTCCCATTGCTGATTCAATAATTTCGCGAATTTGAATTTCACATGTCGGCACGTGAAGCAAAAGAGGAATTCAAAGACGATTTGGAGTATGGAGATCTAGATACTCCCGTGGATCATGCTCAAAAAATTTCAATACTTTAGCTTGTTTCGCTGCTGTGTCGAACGCCGATAATTTTGTAAGTTCAAATTTTATTCGTTCATCCGTGACAAATAAACACATACTAAAAGCCGAATTCATGTCTGCTTGCTGTGTTCTACAATACGAAAGTGAGCATTTGTAATATTACTCTTGTTAAGAAAAACTTAAGCTGCAACGCACGACGCTTGCAGGTCTGATCATGCCTTTCTGCGCTAAACTTGTGGCGATCGTTAATCGCAGAAATGGTCTCCACGCTGTGGTTTAACACTTGCATACAGCCATGGAGCACACTCAAAAAATTTTAAATTTTTAGCTTGTTTTTTTGCTGGGTTGAATGCGTCGTCTCATTCTGGCTTCACGTGAGGGCGTGTGAAGTTCAAATTTACAAAATTATTCAACTTCGGGACCAGACAAGGTTCCTGCAAAGTTTCGGCTTTTTATCTTGCCTGATTCTCAAAATCGTTTCTCGCCAAAGAAATTTATATATGTATACATATATCTTTTTTTGGAGGAGTGAGGTCGTTAAGCGAGAACTAGGTGCGTATGAGCGATGATTTTAAACCGAGAGGGTAACATAAGGAGTGTGCATATGCCCCAAAATTTCAGCTTCCCAGCTTTTCTGGTTGCTAAGATGAAAGTGGATGACAAAGTTCACTCGCATTCAAACGCACACGGACGATCTCTCGACAATATGCGTTTTTGCTCACCGTAGCAACGCTGTAGCAATAAACAATTATGACAAGAAACAAAGTACCTCTTGCAAATTACAAGTGCGTTTCTGATGAATTTTTCGACATTATCAAGGCAGTGTATGCTAACAAAAAGATTAAAAATGAGAGACAATAACAAATAGACAAAGCGAAAAAAGATGGGTACTCAGCGCAATTCTAAAAGAACAGCGAGGAGAGTGTTTGCAGTGGGGTGGAAGCATCAGTTCGAGTGGCAATTTGAAACTGTGTAAGCTGGAGATGCGCAACATATGGAAAAATGGAGAAGTTGCCAGCGTATGAGGAAAAAATTTGAGGATAAAACGACAAGTAATCGAAGTATCACAGTAATAACAGAGAAACCAGAGTGTGGTTTTTGGTACTGTCCCAAGATCATATAGATAAGCTGATAGTGAAAGTCGTTTCGAAGCCGAACCGCCTTCACGACTTGACATTTCTTTTCGACTGATTAATTGTAATTGGCAAAAATCATCTTATGCCGGAGCAGCACGGAACCTTACACAGCCGTGTCACTGCAACAAAAAGCTGCCGCGAAACATATGTGCCTTCGCCTCACTACGGGACAAATAGCAAGAGAACTGTCTACTCAAGACCATCAAAAAAGTGATGCAGATGAAGCGGCAGCTGCAGGATGCGAAGAAAGGAAAGAAGGGCGGAAGTGATGCCCAATTCCGGCCCGCTGCCGTGTCTCCGATCGAAATGCAGGAAAGAACGAGCGTACGGATTGGCCGACGGACGGGCAGCCGGCTGGTTAAATGCACCACAGCAGCGTCGATGGGAAGGCGGAGAAGTGCATCACACAACCGCGGGGACAGGGACGCCTTCAAGATTACGAGCAACACGATCCTGACACTACGCAGACTCCTTAATACATTCCTTCAGGCGTTAAAATCAGATGTTGCTGCAATGGAGAAACTTGGGAGTGACATCGATTCAACTGGACTGCGACATTCCTTTATTCTGTCGAGTGAGACGGCACATACAGGAAAATTTGTTAGTGATAGTTGATGTTTCAATGACGAATCGCTTGCATACTTATGCAAAAGCCCTGGTGAAGAGGTCTCTATATTCTGGCCCAAGAAATAATGATACACAATTTTTAACATTCACGTAAATCGTTTAACCTTATATTCTCATGCTTCTTTGAGATTTGGCTACATTCCTTCAGCATGCCTGTCAAGATTTTACGCACCTATAGACATCTCAAATAATCTCATCACATGTCGAGGGGCTTTTTTTAAGTACAGCTTCCAACGGGGCTAAGGCCACTTCGAGCGAGTGCCTAAATTGGAACTCGGTGAACCTCTTTTACTGAACACGGTAAGCATCATTACTGTGCTGTTTCATTCATATTAAGTTTGACGAGATGATGAATGAAATGCGAACGGAAACTACCACCATCCCCCGCACCTAAACTGTCCACCTTGAAAAAAGCCGTTAACAAGGCCATCAGCGATTTTAGCAGTAATTTTTTACCAGTATTCAACGGACCAGGAGTTCTGGAAGTCTTTAGATAGTTTCATCCCTTGCAAAGGGAATCAGCTGACTGTGTCTCCAGTGCCCCCGCTGATCGCAAAATGAGTTCAATTCAGTGTCTCTTAACAAAACACAGCAGGGCGGTCTTCAGTTTTGAAGCAGCACTGAAGCACGCAATTTTAGCCTGCATAGACTTTGCAACTTTTGCATCCTGTAACTGGCAAAAAACTCTGATGATTTTAAACAGATTTATCGGAACAGAACTGAAAAACACAATCAGCACACCGAGCAGCTGTCTTCATTCATCTTTCGCAATTACAAAAATACACAATAGGTATAACATTCGAAATCAATTACAATAAAATGCAATGTTCCTTAGTGAATGAGTTAACACTCGCATTCGTTTGCATATTATCAAAAAAGATGCATTACACGGAGATTGTTCCTGCCCGTTTGACCGCATTTTTTAACTCTGAAAGCCACAAAATTGAGAAGACTTCTAGCCCTGTACGAAGCCCGAAACAAAAGTTCAGGCCGCTTGTGTCCTGACTTTCAACATTAGATTCAAACTTAAGTAAAGGTATTAACTTAGTTTAGGAATCAAAAAAATGCAAGCTTGAAAATTTGATGAAATGTAAAAAGAAACTGAGGATGTTGCTGTTTGAAAAAAAAAAA